TTCTGAATGATACATTATCTGAAATCAAAGGACAGATACGTGGTCCACCAGATACTCCGTATCAAGGAGGCTCTTTTGATTTAGAAATCAAAATTCCGGATACCTATCCTTTTACTCCACCAAAGGTAGGCCTTCTTCTTATACTTTATCACAGTCCTCATTAGGAATATTGCTTGCCTCTTTGGGAAGAATTAGATAATATATTTTCATCTTTTTTAAAATTAAAAGTGGAAGCACGCGATTGGTTAACTTCCACACTGCTAATGTCAGATCATCGCAATATATTTATTGTGACTGTTAACCTTGTCAATTAATATAGTTATGAAATCCTGATATTCTATCCTAATAAGAACTTCTTCTGCACATTGTGAGTTATGAGACGAAAAAGTCAATTTAAGGGTTTGGTTAGGAAGATGAAGTTTGTGTCATAGCATGTCGACCTTAAGCAACATCAATCTGATAAGTTTGTACTTCTATCTTCGTACCGTCAACCGAGAACTCACAAGTTTCAATGAATTCACATATTAGAGATTTTTATACTTGGACGGCGTATTTGTCGCTCCATGTTGCCCTACAGTTTTTTGCAAGCCATCTTTTCTTGCGTCTGACAGCCTAAGCTTTGTCTTCCGAATATGTACATCTTAGCAACTACTCATGTTTGTGATTCATTTAGAAGCTTTGAATCATATTTAGACATGGCCGCTAGTGGTTCAGGGCTTTCCAAATCCCGTATTATCAGACCATTTTGCATATATTTATTATTACTAGAGTTTATTTACGCGATAAAAGCTTGGACTTCACGGTTTTGCTATAGCAACTTGTGAAAATGGTAGAAATATAAATTTAACCTGTTCTTATCCAATGTTGATACTGTTTACTGAAAATTCAACAAACGAAAAATTTTCAGATCAAGTTTCTCACCAAGATTTGGCATCCCAATATAAGTTCCCAAACTGGGACTATCTGTCTTGATATCCTCAAGGATCAATGGTAAGCATTCCACTTCATGACCAAGTCCAATAACAAATCAGAACTTTGAACATGAACGACTTCCTTTAAAGCTTTTTAAATGTTTTTTTGTCTTGTGTATATCTTTTTTTCTTTAGGGCTGCATCGCTAACTTTACGCACTGTACTTCTGAGTATTCAAGCATTGATGTGTTCACCAGAGCCCAAAGATCCTCAAGACGCTGTAGTTGCTAAGCAGTATATGTCCAATCCTGCCCTATTCAAGGTCTGTATTGGCATATGCTTGAGCACTACGTAACCATGGCTAAACTGTAAAAAATTACATTTATAAATCTGTGTTTGCAACTTTTCATAGCAAGGGTGAAGCTCAAAGATCTGACACCTCACTAACAACATTTTTCATCATATTGTGGCTAGTTAATAGCCAATAAACCAGCTCTCACATGAGTGCACTTCTTCACCGAACCGGTTTGTCATCAATTAAATTCCTACTTGTTTAAATTGAAGTTGGAATGAATGAAAAAAAGTTTGAGGTTTGTTTATTGTGCTAGAGCTCATCAGCTTACAATTTTCTGCTGTTTCTCTAAGTTGCATGATTAGATCCATAATCAAACACTGGAACCTCCTTATTGTAGGCATTTTCTGGAGAACTTTTTCCAACAATCCTATATCTCCAGCTTTTCTCTTCCTCTCCTTATGTCTTTCATTGGCGGACTAGAACTTTGAGGTCATGAACCATAAGGTTAACGGCTTCAGCAAAAAAGCTGTTTGGCCTTCATAGGCAACTTGTTGTTTTCTGCTTCTGTCTTTTCATGCCATTCTACTAGTTGCTTTATTGGGATAGTTTTGTTGTAACGCAGAAAAGATTTCAGTTTTGTTTTTAATCCATTCTTGATAAACAACTTTTGTAAGATTATTTGCTAGTTTTAACATTCTTTACCCTTCTCTGGCAAATCTGTTCAGTCATGATTTCCATTGATTGTAGGAAACAGCAGTTTTCTGGACCATCAAATATGCCAAAGGTAAAGCTGAAGAGAATCGTCAATATCGAGAACGTGTAGAAAAGCTCCGCGATATGGGTGTCACGGAAGTAACACTTACCTTTTTTTT